CTGTTCAGAATTAATCTGCTGAAAGCAATAGCCCTGTTGAAGGTGACCTTACCTCACTATATTTTAACTATTTAAAAAGAAAAAAAAGTTGTTGACATTGTGGCATAATTGTTTTGTATGTGTATATGCTAATAAAGGGGAGGCGTGTGGCACAGTGGATAGTGTTGGTATTCTGATCAGGGGGTCAACAGGTTCAAACCCCACTGCATTCAGCATGTTGTTGTGTCCCTGGGCAAGACACTTCACCCCAAATTGCTCCTGTGGCGATTGTCTACACTAGTATTGAGTGTGTAAGTCGCTTTGGATAAAAGCGTATAACAAGTAACATGTTATAATTATCCTTCTTTTAGTATTTTTGAAAACCCTTTGTTGCTGTCGGACAGCAGGCTCCATCTGTTCCTCCAGTCAGACCTCAGCATCACAAGGATAGAGAGATGTGCGAGCGGTAAGACAAGGTACACGGTGGCAGAAGCAATACAGCGATGCAACAGCAGCTTCATCAGCAGTTCGGAGGACAAGGCGGCCTCCTGTGACTCTGACTGTGAAAGGTAACGCTTGGACAGAAAAGTTTACATGTTTTTTTGAAGAACAATTTTCAATGTCTGATGCTAAACTGACCCCTCCATCACTTTTCCTCCCACAGCAGCTCTTCTTCAACAGGTTGTCAGAGTGTGGACACTCCAGAGCGAGGGACCCCCGTCCCCTTCTCAGAATCATGACAGACACTCCCAGCTGTTCAGCTGTCTTTCAGTGTGTGTCCCCCACGCGTCAACAGCAGCAGTGCTTGATCTGCTGGTGATCGTCCATGGAGCTCTTTCTTTTCTTAACCTTCAAACTACTTAACTATTCAACTTGGACATTTGTTTTATTATTGTGCTTTATTTTTTCTCAAAGCATTGAGCATCAAATTCATTTAATTGAGTGTGTATTTAAAAAAATAAATCATGTTTTTAAAAATGTATGGTAAACCTGCACACTATAATGGTGATTTCTTAAACATTTATATACATGTATATTTTTATCTGCACTGAAGCTCTACCTATGTTGGCAATGAATGAGATTTGAATTGTGACTAGAATTTTTAGAAAAATATTTGAATACTTTTTATTATGTATTAATGGCTGAATAAATTGTCTTTTTGATGAAAAAAGGTCTTGCTTCTTGAATAGTAATTGAACATCTTATTGAATTTGTCCAATAACTTGTTTTCCTGAATACAGTGCTGTATTGTTAGAGCCCAGTAGAGGGAGACATCATAGGACCTCAAAGCCTCTGAGTTAATATTACATTACATGTTACTTGTTAGACGCTTTTATCCAAAGCGACGTACATACTCAATACTGTGGGCAATCCCCACAGGAGCAATTTGGGGTGAAGTATCTTGCCCAGGGACACAACGACATGCTGACTGCAGTGGGATTTGAACCTATTACCCCATGATCCCATCACCAAGGCTCTATCCACTGTGCTACACGCCTAATACAGCAGGGGGTTACAAGTCTGCAATGGTAACTTGTTTTACACTAGTTTGTGCTGAAAATTGGAGTAAGGTTATTTTCTCTTTAAGGGATAGTTGATGCAATTGAGTTTATATTAATCAACATTAAACTGCTCATGGTTAAAGATGTCGGTTATACACCCAATATTGTCAGACAATTAACGCACACTTATGGTATGTTGCAAAACTGTCAATGTCCCTTTGAGACGGTGAAAATGTGACTACTAAACCCTAAAAAAGGTTTTAGTGAGATGTTTCTTATATATATATATATATTCAAGTCTGAATTTAATGTAAATGCCTTAACCAGAACCTAAACTGAACATTGCCAACTTCGTTAAGGCAAGATTTTCTCCAACATTATTTTCTTTGGTATATCCATTACACTGAGAACTGCATGTATAACAAACCGTTCTATTTTACAACCTGCAATCTTTATCTGGAAGGTCTATATCTACAAGTTGGATTTTAAATGTCTTCAGTGTTGTGATATTGGAAGAGGCTGAGTGCTGGTCACATTTCATCCCTCTGTCATTCCTGTCCCAGGTGAGGTGGTCTAATTAAAGTAAGACAGCAAATTAATTCAACTATTACAGACTACTCTTGGGAATCACCTGCAATAAAGAAGACAGCTTCATACTGTGTGTGTGTTACAGGGTTGAGATGGGGGGCAGTGCAAGAGTGCAGGACAGCCCTGTAAATTGAAAGCTGATGAAAGAAGCGAAGGCTCATTAAAGGAGACAGCAGCTGTCCACACCCCCCCCTACCAACTGCTGGACTGACACGGGCCGGTCCAACAGTAAACCTGGCCTGTCTCTGTCCCCCTGTCTCTGTCCTCTTCTCTCCTTCCCCTGGATGGTGCTGTCTCCCTTTGCGCACTAGCCATAATGAAGCTGTCAGTGACTTCACACCGCAGCCACTGAGCTGTATTCATACGGCAAACACAGACCCAGACACGTGAAAACACACTGACAGCTGTGAGCACAAACACGTATACACTGTTGGGAAAGCTGTGGATGAATGAACATTTTCTCTTTTCCTCATCCCCTGTCAGTTCCTCGGTCCCAGTGGTTTGTGGTTGGAGCTCTCCATCTCTGTTTCCTGTTAAGGTTGACCTTATCAACGTACCCCATGACAGCCATAGAGCACGACACACACACAACCGCGTACACTGCTTGGTTCAGAGCCAGTCAATTTTCAGACAAAATTAAATGCAACCTCAAGTTGGTGGCATCTTGTGTTTTTGTGTGTGTGTACATGCACCCATCTGCCTTTTTGTCGCGGATAACATCCAGCATTTGGATATTGAGTATTCACCGTACATGTCTATTTCATCTTTGTAATTTATAACTCAATTTCCAATGTGCATTGATGCGCTTCATACCTCCAAAACATCAAACAAAGCCCAAACCCAATTGTGTTTCAAAGCAATTAGGGTGTCCACTGAGTTGTGAACGGTCCACGTTGCCGTGGCTCTGAGCCTGTATGATATTTTAATTGTTAATTTTCTGTCACATTAGTCAACTTCAATGCTTCTGGACAGGTGACCGAGCTGCTGTAGACAACACATAAAATGACACGGAGCATATTCTGAGTTTTTTGATGCGGCTGAGTGGAGGGTACTTTTATGAGATGGGGGGGGGAAGGTTCAGCTGTATGTGACGAGTTAAATGACAAGATGGTATATCATATTTACAGCTGGTTTTATGGTAGGAATATTTTCTAATGCTTTTCAATATGTGTCTTGGGCCTTAATATTAGCATTAGTTTATGAGTCTAAATTATTAGCTCATTTGGACTTTCACCTGAAGCCACCGCGGGGAATGGCTTCACCCCCTTGACCTCACAAAAGCCAACAATGGCAAAATCCATATGAGCAATTATCTTGTGTAACTCTCTACCGGCCCCTGTGCTTACTTTGCACCCACTCTTCCTCTTCACTCTCTCTGTATTTCCCTCCATATACCTCTCCCCCTCAGCCCTCATCATCTCTCTATAGACCGCTAAGTTAATTAGCTGTTCCCTTTTGTAGTTTTTTTGCTGACGCTGCATGCCCCGGCTCAATGTACCTCAGCTGTCCAACTGTTGAGGAGAAAGATGTCTCGACCTCGCAGCCAGCTCCTCTTCCTCCCCTACTCTCTCTTTCGCGCCGGGCGAGAGGCGGGGTCAAAGGTGACGACTTGCATTGTATTTGTGATTATTACCTCTAAAGTGCTATTGCATAGAGCATCATTAAAAGTCAATGCATCTCCCTCTCCTCCCCCAACCCCACCATCACACGCCTAAAACACACACACTCATTTTGCACGCACTCTGCACATCGGCAGCCATTTAACAGCTAAAATACGACCTGTGCGCAGATAAATGTCACAGGGCCATCTATCTGCGAGTGTTAAAAGTCGGCTAATGGAGATGACATATTAGCGGCCCAAATGACTGCCATAAAAACACCCACCATTCCTCGCCCGGCCACTGTGACTGCAATAGGATATGGCACTGGCACTAGAACTATCCGTCTGCAGGAAGACGGAGAGGAATGGAGGGTGATGTCATATCTAGATGGAGTTCTATTCATTCAATAAATTCTGCGAGGTTCAGCGCCCTGAAACAGTGATTGGGGAAATAACGACTGTATAGCATAATGAGTGAGGGCCACAGAGTAATATCGCACTTCCCCCATAACACGTGTGATGTAATGACCTCTCACCTTTGACCTTTCATAGAGTAGTTGGTCAGAAATCATGAGCCAGGTCAGCTTTCGCGTCGATGACTTTGTGTGTCGATAACAAAGCTGCCACTTTAATCAATAACACGTTCAAATCCTACTTGAAGATCCTCCACAGGTACGCGTTCACCTCCTCCTTCATCCATCCTATCTCTTTATTAATTACCCTTCTCTATCCATGCGTGTCTCTCCTTCTCTGAGTGAATGGAGCAGTTGTAATTGCTTCTCTCTGGAGCAGTTAGAAGCGGCACAAAGGAACCGTATAGAAACCACATTTGCATTCGAGATGAGCCGAGATGGAGAGGAGGGAGGGAGCACTGCCCTCCTGCCCTACACTGAGCAGCACCACTTACACACTCTCTCTCTCCTTCCCTCCCTCCTTTTCTCATTTATTGTCTCCCTCTCTCCATCCCTCCCTCCACCTTATCTACTCCCACCACCCCCACCTCCTCCCTTACGCAGCATGGCTCCCCTTGCATTGTCTTTCCAGAGAGTTCCAAGGTCGACGGGAGCTTGCTCATCAGAGCAGGGTATTGTACACTTAGTGCTGCCTGCCATGGACGAGCTAATTTGTGTGTGTGTGCGAGTGTGTGCATGATCCTGGATGTGTTGCTTTGGTTTGTGCACGTCCCGAGGCCTGCATATGTGAGCATATGTGTCAAAATATATGGTTGTGTATGTGTGTGGCAGTAACTCTTATGGCTGGTAAAAAGGGGTGAAGGAGCGTAGGCTGTAATTAATAGCTCATAAGCTACGAATTGCATTTTTTTTTATAACCACCAATATCTCACCACCTCTTACACCTATGCCATCACTCTCACTCACTCCTGTGGAGCACACGCACAAGAACACACACACGCACAACTCCTGAGGGCTCTTCTTTTCCAGCTTGATAAGCATTTCTCGTTTGTTTCAGCGTTTTGATCAATACAGTTAAAACGCCAAAGCAAGCATAATTAGGTCTGAGATGGCTCCCACTGTGACTGAATAGACTTCACCTAGGGAGCTGCTCACCATTATCATCATCACTCTCTGTGTGTGTGTGTGTGTGTGTGTGTGTGTGTGTGTGTGTGTGTGTGTGTGTGTGTGTGTGTGTGTGTGTGTGTGTGTGTGTGTGTGTGTGTGTGTGTGTGTGTGTGTGCGTGCCTGTGTTCATACCACACACAGCGTGATCTAATAGAATTGACAAAGTGCACATCGGGACGTAGATTAAAGGGGAACTCTGAGCTATAGGTTGATTTTAGCAGGTGATGGAATCGCCCATTCAACGTGCGCTCACTCACCTCCATCTTCATTCCCGTAATCATTTAGACAACCTTTACAATGCATCTCTGCCAGCAGGTTCATTTCAATATGTTATAGGCCACCTAAATCATTTTTTATTGGTTTATTTACTCAAAACGATACATAGATGGAGACCACAGAGATCATAAATTGTCCACAATAACCATTATACACAGTGAAGTGACTCTCCTTTATGCCATAATCCACAGTGACAACCTTGGTAAAAATCCATCTGAGACATTAAAGAAGGACGACTTTGGGTACTTGGTGCACATTTACCCCTCATTAATACTGGACTAAGCCCTAGACTAAGCCCTAGAGGAAAACGTGAAAGTCCCTATATCTGCAAACGTTAGAGAAATAAAAACGTTATCCTTTTATCACCTGTGACTTCAGCTCTCTATCATTTTGCAAGGGCTGGTTTTTATTATTTTCAGATAATAAATGTTTTAATGTTTGTACAAAAGTAAGATCTTCATTCTTTAAGTTATAACATCATTCATACCAAGAACTAAACTTTTTTGAGTGCTGCAAGTAATGTGTCTCTTTCAACCTACCTTGCACATTTGAATCGAACATGCCAATTTGTATATCCTACCATACTTTATCTCTTCCTGGTCTTCAAAAAAAAAAAAAAGAAGAGA